CCGCGCCGTCTACGCCAGGCCTCCCTCCCTCTCTCCTGTAAGAGCCGGGCCGTCTATGCCAGGCCTCCCTCCCTCTCTCCTGTAGCCCACGGAAAGCTGTGAGAAGCTGTGTGCCATGCACACTGGGGCAGATGCTATTATTACCCAGTGCATATGGCACAGCCCCACGCTCACACCACAGAGCCAGTGAGAGGTATCCTGTGACATCCGCTACCTTAGGCTAATTTCTAAAATAGATGAGGTCCGCTCATCGTGAGCAGCAGGAAATTTTTAAGCATTTTTATTGTACTTTAAAATGAATGCAATGGTGTTGGGATTCCAAAAGCAAATATTAGGTACTCATTGTGGTTTTGCTTCCTGAATGCAGGAAAAAGATGCCAGTCCGCGTGTGTGAACAGCTTCCTTCTGTGCCACGGCAGATACTTCGTTCCAGCTTCCACGTTACAGACCAGCCCAGATGGGACCCCACCCGCGCCGGTGCCTCTTCCTCAGCATCCTGTAATCCTGACACATGCTCTGTCTCACCAGCCCTTCAAACCAGCTTTTACTCAGAGAATCATTTTGCACATCCATTGCTGAAATCCGGCCAACTTTAACAAATTTTCCCAGACTACAAATCACTCAGAGGACTGCACCCCTTGTGCACCTGTGCTCGCCGTCCCAGGGCAACGTGCTACTGTCACAGGAAGGGAATCCTCAATCCCATGCTGAGCCGACACCATCATCTTTCTGGCTGTCATCACTGACCTACATGGAAAGGTCCCCTTCCCTATATCATGATGCCTCTTCTCAATGTCATGGAAGAGATCTGCTCCTAGACAGAAATTCAGATGAAAATGACAGATGCCACCTTAGAAGCTTCCACTTCCTGTCAGCCAGCATCAACTGTCTCATATCTACCAGCTCAACTAACAATAAAGCTAGCAGGAAATCAACTCTTAGCACTCAAAATAAAAAACTGTAAATCACACACAGTCTCTTGAAATATTAAACACATGTATTCTGAAAGGCTATATTTCCTTACCTAATAATTCTTTGAAAAGAAGAACTGGTTATAATAGCAGAGACTCATTCTAGAAAGAACACAATTGGTAGATCTGAATTTGTTTGGTGACATTGTTTTTTAAACAAACGTATCTAGTAAAACTCGAAGGTACAAAGCAAAACCCAGGAGATGGCCAGAAGCAGCGAGAAAGGCATTCCTCTGAATTCCCATCGTGTTGGTCAACAGCACGCCATCCGCCAACGCTGCCTCGTCTTCCAACACTGCCACTCACCCCACACTCCTGTAAGCACCCATCTCACCATGCTGAGACCCTAGGGTACCTTCAGAGTCTTCAAAGAAGCTTTTCTCTATGCAAAACACTAGGCATCCCTACTAGTTTTTAAAGGACTCCACCATCCAAATCTCTTTCCAGTCCTCATCCAATCTCCAAATGTGCTGTGTGCTTGCTCTCAAGAGAAAGGCCACTGCATGTTTACAGAAACCACCACGAGGTAACGAATTTAAGAGAGGGAAAAGTAAAGCCATTAGACATCAATCAAAAAGCCATTAAGACACTGCCTTTTAAAGAACAAGTCTGCTGTAAGCAGGAAGATGCGCCCTAAGACACAGGTGCTTCCTAACGATTAGATCCCGGCCGCAGGCAGCAGCAGCAATGACCCGAGGGCATGGTTACAGGCACGAAAATGTCGTTTCTGGCTCTTCTCTCACTCTAAAAATGTAAGTAAAGGATAAGGAATCCCTGAATCCCAGATCATGTGCATAAATGATCCACAAATAAAAATTCCAACCAAGTAAGTGTTGGAAAGCTTCCATAAATCATTTGTTTCCACGAGGCTTACATCCAAAAGGGGAGGGTAAAGCTCACAGGGATGTGCAGGTGAGGCACCTGCTCCACCCACGCTCTCCATTACACTCCTTTAGGTAAGTCCAGTCCGTCCGCCAGGCAAAGCCGCATATAAGGCACCTTCAAAAGCGCCCGGATTCCTAGTTTTTTATTAAATTTATTAAATCTCCAAACCAGTTAATAAGAAAGGCTAAAGGTCTTTGGGTGGATTACAAATAACTTAAGATCTTAAAGGCAAATTGACACAGTTACAGTCTATGCCATTTTTCTTTAAAAAAAAAAAAAACCAAAAACCAAAAACCAAAAAAAAAAAAAAAAAAACACCCACACACTAATTAGTAACTGGCTCCCTAAAAAGAACCCTATATTTTGAATCAAAGACAAAGCATATAATAGGTGTCATCTTTTGAATGTTGGGTGCTTTATTCTCAACTACTTGAAAACTGAAGACATGATGAACAGCGCTAACTAGTTGAGGTTGCAAAAAAGTTACTGAAAATACATTTTCTGAGAAAAAACCACGGGTTCCGGTCACAATAATGCTAATAAAATTTTAAAAGCACACACATACAAAAAAAACCATGGTTAAGAGTAACATGAAGAATATTTTTTCTTTTCTAAAAATCTGGAGTAAACTTAAACAAAATAAGTCTGGACTGTCCAATGCAAGACTTGCAATAATGTGTACGCTGTCAGGCCAGTACCGCGACCTACAGCCAGCAGGCGCCACGCCGCGCAAGGCAGGGTCTGCACAGAATTCACTCGGATTCAAGGACTGTTGTAACCAAGAACTGGAGTTTCCCCGTAAGAAAGAAAAGGAAGAGCAAGTAAAGCAAGCTTACCCTTGGCTGCCAGTTCTCGTACTGCTTCTGTAAATTTGCACCGATGGTTTCCAGAGCTTTCTGAGGACCCATCGACAGAGGATCTGAGGAAGCAACGGAAGAGAGAAAGTTCTTTACGTATGCACGTCCTCCTCTGCTAGACCTCTCTTTCACAGTTTCTTCTTATGTAACGCTCTTCAAAGTCACCTTTGACTAACAGTGACACAATGCCTACGGTTGATCGGTGTTCACCAGATTTACGAAACCACTCATGTGCTCAAACAAGCTGACACGCCCGTGAAAGCCAGCGTTTTAACGTCGGGGCAGGTGACTGTTCTTCTATCCATGCTCATGTGTATTTCAGCACCTGCAGCTTTCCCGCACTTTCACTGTTTGCTTCTCAGGCTCCTGATCAGCTTTCTGTGAAATGGCAGCTCTGCAGTGAGTACATGTGCACCTGTGTGTTCAGACTACGGCTCTCGTGGGTACAGGAACAGGGGAAGGAAATAAGACAACGAAGTGATACTTTTTAATTAATTTTCATCTGTACTCAGTTTTCCCACCAAAAAAATCGGTTTCACAAACATACATACATGTCCATTATTTACTTCAGCAGTGGCTTCTACGGCAATGAACTCTCAGCCAGCAGTTCACAAACTTGTTTGGTCTCAGGACACATCTGCACTCTAAAATTACTGAAAACCCTGAAGACCTTCGGTTTATGTTGCTGTATCTATCAGTATCTCCTATATGTGAAATTCAGGTAAGATTTTTAAAGTTGTTTTTTCTTCATTCATCTTAAAAACAGTAACAAACCCATTATATTTTAAAATAAATATTTATTATAAAAATAACTATTTTTTCCAAAAAGCTTAGTGAGAAGAGCAGCATTATTGTACATTTTTGCGAATTTCTGGAATGTGGTTTAATCAAGGATGGGTGACTCTCATCTGCGTTCACCTGTGGCGGTTCATGGCTTCGGTGAATGCATAGGCAGAAGCTCCTACCTCACACACATACCTATCATTAGAAAGCAGAAGAGTACCTTAAAATGCTATTTTACATAATCATGACTCTTTTTCTTTGATACTACACCAAAACTTATCAAATGATAATTACTTCCAGGATATTTGAGACATACTATCTGAAACCACATCAATGAAGTTTTTGTATGCTATCACATTGAAATTCACTGCCCTCTGTTGTACCTTGAGTGGGTTTTTTTACCCATAGCTTATTTTGTATCATCATGCATTGACCATTTTCAAAATACTGGCTGATTGAACTATACAGATCTTGTATTTTCATTCTCTAATATTAAAAAAAAAAATTCCCACTCATTAACATCACCATGATCTCATCAGAAATGTCTTAAGTACTTCTAATTCCTTTATGAGTTTCCATTTGTCTTAAGGGGAAGGAATCTGGGACAGAGCTAATGAAATTTGAGTGGTGAGTGAGTGTGTGAGGAAACTGATGAATGAAGTGTGCAGGTAGGTGGATGGAATAGTAGACGGTAGTTGGTGTTTGTATAAAACTTTCAGCTCTTCATAAGTTTTTCAATCTGCAAGATTTTCAGCATAACCCCTCTGTCAGATGACTTGGTCCAGGGTTACCGACAGTGCTGGCATTCAGCCAACCTGAAGGAGTGCCGCTTTTTCTTTTTCAACCTCTCCATCTTCTTCATACGTACCCAGTCTGATTACACGTCCTATCCATTTCACCTTCCAAAGAGCTGGCGCTCCACCATCAAGTGCTAACGTGTTCATCCAACCCGTGGCCCTTCAAGATGTTACTCAGGCCCTCCCACCTCCCAGCTGGGTTTCTGAATCTGGTCCAATGACTCCAAAGAGAGTGGTGCCCCGGGCACAGACAGGGCCACCACTGCCCCAGTCTTCCTCTTCTCAGTCCACCCTGAAGATGAGCGCAGCCTGACCCCTCCCCTCAGAAGCCCACAGTGTCCGCCGTGTGCTCTATTTAGATGGGAAGCTGTCAAGAGAGTGGAGACCCAGCAGTGTGGCTTCAGGGGTTGGGGGGGACCCGAAGGGGACAAGATTAGGCTTCTGGGCCACTGGTCATATTGTTCCTTGATCTCAGGAACATGGGTATGATCAGTTTAGGAAAATTTATCCAACCACTGTATACACTTGGGTTGGGTGCAGATTTCTATGTATGCTATCCTTCAAAAAAACGTTAACGCTGAAAACCCCATCCAGCACTCACCGCTCAGTGTCTTTGTAGTTCTTTGTGCCTTGTATTTAGTAGACACTTAATAAACATTTGTTAATTGACTTATTAACTGAGTACTGCCTACTAGATGAAGTGCCAATTTCTCTTATGGCTTTCAAGGACGCTGCCACTAATTAGTTATGTAGCCTTCAACAACTCATTTTTTGACTGAGAAAATACATAATGGCAAAAGGGCTACTTTGAAATTGGAAATGGTTTTTAATGACTTGATATTTTCCTAATCATAATGCCATCTCTGTCTATTTATAATTAGTCCTATATACAGTGAGAGACGTTGTGATCTTCCTGAGTTCAGGGGCAAAGCTTGGACCTACACAGCTGCAGGCACGTGGGGCAGGAACGCTTCGGCCGGGACCCACAGCCCTCGCAGTGTCTGTGGGGCTAGGATGGGAGTCATCGTCTTTCCACAGGAGCAATCCTTTACAGTCTGGCCCCATTCTAACCACTAGCCCTTACTCCTCACATAGCGACAAAATTATGTTTCTGTGTCGCCTACTGCTGTATTATATAAAAACCAGGAACTAGATAGATCTTCAGCAGATTTGAGGGGATGAACATGCTCTGTTTTAAAAAACAGTCCTCGGCCAGGTGCGGTGGCTCACGCCTGTAATCCGAGCACTTTGGGAGGCCAAGGCAGGCGGATCATGAGGTCAGGGGACCACGGGGCCAATGTGGTGGAAGCCATCTCTACTAAAATACAAAAAATTATCTGGGCATGGTGGCGCATGCCTGTAGTCCCAGCTACTCAGGAGGCAGCAGAATCACTTGACCTCAGGAGGTGAAGGTTGCAGCGAGCTGAGATCACAGCACTACACTCCAGCCTGACGACAGAACAAGAATCTGTCTCAAAAAAAAAAAAAAAAAAAAAAAA